GCGTTCAGAATACATCCGGATGGTATTGGTATCGCAAGAAAATCGTCGAAGCCGATATTCCACAAGTATGGACCTAGCACCGATCCCTGAGGACATCCCATTGTAGTCGGTCCAGTTTTGAAGTCGGTTAAAAGATAGCCTTAGTTACGCCTTATATAGACGGCTATCTGGTAGTAAAATATTATCGAAATCGGTCCAGCCGTTTAGAAGATTACCCGGCACAAACAGACAGACTGACAAAAAAAAATTAAACTGGTTTTTATAACCCGTGTGAGCATTGCAAAAAGTGCAAAAAAACTTATTAGTTTGACATTACAAACAGACACTTCAATTTTATTTATTTGTTTTTTTTTTGGTTATTAGATATAGATGATACGACCGATTCCCAATGTCAATGAATGTTAGAAATCGAGTTCTTAAAACGTTGTCTTTATCTTAAATTGATTTACCATGTTTAAACAAAAAAAATCAAGGACTAAAACTTCTGCATATAGGTTTACTGCCCGCCACATGACTTTACAACCAAAATGGTTAGAATGTTCCGTACTTCGAAACCAGTTATTGATATAGCAAACAAGCATAATTTAATAAAACGTTTAAAAACTATTAAATAAATTAAACGTTGCACAGCTTCTGGTGCAATTACGAAAAATAATAACGGAATAAAATTCTCATTTTTTCCAAATTGTATTCCTGTCTAAACCTACCCTTATAGTTCCTCTCCGTTATATTTTCTTTTATGACTATGTGACTCTCCTCTCAGTTTTCTGTCCGTTACTTACAATTAATTTGAATATGACCCTACCAGGGCAGGGAAAGGACACCTCTTTCCAAATCCACTTTCTGGATGGCCCATATCAGTCATAAAGCGTCACATTAAATATTGGTCAGAGATGAATAGACAATACTAGCAAAAGTAGGCTGTCCCTTGCACGGTCGGGAGATTCTTACTTCCACAACCTAAACACGAATCAGTTAATATTACACACGGTTATTTAACGGTACCTATGCCTAAAAACTAGTTAAAAATATATTTGACTGTCTGTCTGTTTGTTCCGGTTAATCTTCTAAACGGCTGGACCGATTTTGATAATATTTTGTTATCAGGTAGTTGTCTATATAAGTAACTTAGGCAATTTTTAGTTTTATTTTATAAAAACCCTATCAAATTTTGCGTGGCCTGGAAATCGAACCCACGAATAACTTAGGTTATTTTTCCTCTCACAAAAACCCTTTAAAATTTTGCAATACATGGGCATCGAACCCACTAAGGCAGCGCTTTTCAAATTCCACGCTATCGAAGTTGCGGGTACCAGCTAGTTAATATAAAAAAATGAACAAACGACCTCTGATAAGTGGTAAGTGATCCTTCACTTACCACTTATCTTACAGGCCCGTCAAGGTAAAATAAATAATACACGAGTTTTTCTAAAATATAAAATATGGCAGCTTTTGACTCGCTCATTTTTTCGACTTAGTAATACAATGTTTTTTGTTGATACATGTCATTATCTTTTTTTAAATATACTGTATATTTTCCTGTTATTTTTAACTACAATTAAGTTATTAACCACATAACTTGAAAATATTTACAAAAAAGCTATGTACTTTTTTAGTCTCTGAACTATTTAGTTCCTAGTAAATGAAATGAGCCAACCTCTCAACTCTAAAGGTTCAAGGACATAACATTCTAATGGGCTGAGTGTTGTGATACCCGCATGGGACAACATTTTGTGTGATCCACAAATTGTTCTTCTGAGTCTGGATGTTCTTTGTGTCTGTTTTATGTATGTTTGTAAAGTCGCACGAGACACAGGATATATTCCTAACGCGGGAGTTGCCTGTTTTAACTAAAACTTAATTATTGTACTCGTATTTACGCAGTTCTAGTCTTCTAAGGATGAATTAATAGCGTTGTCACGGTCAGCTATGCTTGAAAGATGCAATCATAAAATAATGATTTAAAACACGCACAGGAAAAGCTAATGAGAGCGATAATCAGTATCTGATAGGTGATAGTGAAGAATGGAATATATATCATGGAATGGAATACATGATAAATATACAAAATTTAGATAATGCAAATAACAAAATTATAAATAACTGTGAGTATGGCTGCTCAATAGACAATCGTGACATCAGGGATATTTTGTTGTTGATATTTTGTTGCGCATAAAATTGAATTACTAGTTTAAACGATTTTTTTATAATATTAGGTCTTTACCTATGAAATTGCCGTTTTGTATGCAATAAGTGAAAGTACTTATTTTTTTTATACTTTTTTATTTCTGTTATTCGAAGTAATCACCCATGCAATCGACGCATCTTTGCCAACGCATTGGCAGTTTATTGATGCCCTTCTTGTAAAAATCAGCTGGACAGGAGGCAACAAACTTTTCAAAGGCATTTTGTACTGCCTCTCGGGAATTGAATTTTTTACCCACTAAAAAGTTGTCTAAATTTTGGAAAAAGTAATAGTCGGTAGGTGCAAGGTCATAGGTAAAGACCTACTATATGAAAGTATTTGTGGATTAATCTATATTAACAGTAATAATCATTTAATAATAAAAATTCTTTATTGCAGACCATGGTGTCCAATTTGTTAGTAACAATATTCTTAGAGACTAGTGTTAGTACCTACAGTACATCTAGAAAGCAAACCTCAAAACAAAGAAAAATAGACATACATAACATTTATACTTTTTTTTAACGGGACTAATCCCTCCCGCACGCCCATAACTGTAACTCCTGTACACCAGGATCAACAGCAGTGTCCCACGAACACACCGAGTTATGACACTCGGGAAAATTCGGGAAATAAAATTGAACTGTTTTGGAATCCGCAACGAAATTAATCAGACGAAAATTGGAGAAGTTGGCAATATAATAAAGCCACTTCTCTCTTTAGCAAAGCGGTAGACAAGATAAAGTATAAATAGGCACTCTTTTAAACAGGGAAGCACCACGGCCACAAAATATTATGGGTCCTGAGTGAGCTATATTTGTTTTCTGTAATATGTATGGCAGAATCGCCTATATGTACGAATACATAACATAGGTACATATATTATACTAGCTGGTACAAGCGACTTCGATTGCGTGGCAATTGAAAAGCGCTGCCTTAGTGGGTTCGATGCCCGGACCAGGCAAAATTTTAAAGGGTTTTCTGAGAGGAAAAATAGCCTAAGTTATTCCTTATGTAGACAGCCACCTGGTTGTAAAATATTATCGAAATCGGTCCAGCCGTTTAGAGGATTACCCGGAACAAACAGACAGACAAAAAAAATGTAAACTGGTTTTTTGGCATACCTACTTAGGCTTACATACATACTATGCCATTGTTAAAACTTTATCTTTATCTTAAATTGATTCACCATGTTTAAACAAAAAAAAATCAAGGACTACAACTTCTGTATATAAGTTTACTGCCCGCCACATGAATTTACAACCAAAATGATTAGAATGTTACGTACTTCGAAAACAGTTATTGATATAACAACAAAGATAATTAACTCGTATTTTAACCATAAGAAATTACAAACTGACTATAATAATTGAATACTTAACATTTAAAAAAGTATCACCGAAATCAATGCTCTTGTATTGTGATGAATTGTAATAAACTGTACTTATTCTTTATTCATTTTTCCTTTTTTATTCAAATTTCATTCTTTATTCCTTCTTCTTCTTTATTGACGGTTAATTCCTTGTCAAGTTGACCGTCCTTTTAAGTGCTCAGGAAGTCACAATTTATGTTTTTTTTTTCCTCTATAATATAGTAGCATAATGTTGACACTGTGTTGGAGGCAAACTGCATTATTATAGACAGTTAATGGCTGCCGCAAAGTGTGATGTGGATCATAGAATGGAGATAAAAATGATAATGATAAAAATAATTATAACAATCAAAATTTAAATAAATAAAACATTAATTAAGTTTATTTCTTATAATTGTTTAATTTTAATTTTGATGTTTTTATTTTAATCCAACCAATCTGTGGAACAGGTTATATAAAATCACGCCTTAAATCCCTCACGAGTCTTCGTATTTTACAAGGTAGGTACTATTTATGTATTTGATTATTCGGTTTACTCTCATTCAAGAGTAAACTAAAGGAAAATGTAAATACGGTTAAGGACAACGAATATGTTGAAGAAGTCTCCGATGGAAAGAGTCCGGGGTCTGTCTGTATGTCCGTCCTGTGAACATATCTATGAATAATATACATTTTCCTCTTAATTTTATCATGTGCAATTGCTACGTATTAACTCTAACAGTCGTCTCAGTTTTTAATTATACTCATAGATCTGTGCTAGAACGACGCATAACAACCTTGTTTATGAATGTTCTTTTTACGACATTAAAATACTATTGTAGCCAAAGTTATAATAATTCAATGGAAATATCAGAGAACTAGGATTTAGGTTTCGGTGACATAAAACGTGGTTATAAAAAAGTTGACACGTAGTTTAATGCCTCGAAAAATAGACAAAGTGCATGCGCATGCGCAGCTGCTTAGAAGCCGAGTGCTGGCGGCGATCCTCATTCGCGCTGTCACTCGTCGCGCCCCAAACGTCGCACCCTCTCCCGGACAGACCTGGTCGTGAGGTGCGCGTAAACATATACATAATTGTAATTAAACTATCTACAAATACTCATTAATACTATACAACGACGTACTGGATTAGAATAACAAATCCAAAGAGTTTTTTTTTGTCCATACTCAATTTTAAACGTTGCGTGTACCTAGATTTTTATTTAATCTTTTAACACTGAAGGCATCCATTAAAATGCATGCATTAATATGACTTGACAAAGCAAATAGCAGGATTTAAAATGAAAGTAATTACGATTACTTTTGTAATTTTTGTGAGAGTGTTAAGGCGTTTATATAAGATAGCTTTAAGCTTTTTCTTAACATACTAAGGAAAAAGCCAGACACACATGTGTTTAAGAAAATATTGTTTATCTACAATCTAATTTGAGAAAATCTGCATATTCAACTTGTCAACATAACACTTTTATTCCAAATCATTTCCACTAATTCCTCGTTGTGTCCACTCTTTGAGTGCTCAGCTTCCTGACATTCCATAAAATACTTCCCACTTATATTATTGACTTCTTCAGAGGCAGCTAAATAAATAGTAGTCTGAGCACCTTCTTCTGGAGTCTTGAAGTTGAAGATATCGATCAAAATATCCAAACATTTTTGTGTAAAACGGTCGAGGCCTTTGAAGATATCAGTTCTCACAAAACCAGGGTGAAGACAATTAACGGTTACATTTCTGGGTAATCTCATCGCTAAAGCCTTTGTCCACAGAATAGTACACAATTTACTATTAGAGTATTTAGTGAAGCAGTTTGTGTTTAACCCGGTCAGCTCACTAGGTGTCACTCGGCCATATGCATGTAAAATTGAGGTTACGATGACTATCCGACCACTTGGAGAAGCTTTAATCCTATTAAGGAGTAAATTTGTGAGAAGAAATGGTCCAAGATAGTTCACTTGTATTATCATATCGTTGCCGTCTTCAGTAACTGTGGGTGCCAGGGTTATAAAGCCTGCATTGTTTATCATAATGTCTAACCGATCGTGGGTCTGATTGAACTCTTCAGCAAACTTTCTAACACTGCTAAATCTAGATAAGTCCAGGTATTTGTATTCGATGTTGGTGTTGCCCGTCGTTTTAATAATATCGGCCATCGCTTCTGCTGATTTTTGTCCATCACGAGAAGCGATTATGATTTTTGCACCTCTGGAAGCGAGGTCTCGAGCAGTTTCGAGACCGATGCCTTTATTTCCACCAGTCACTAACACAGTTTTTCCATCAAGTCTCACGTTTGAGTTGCAGATGCCTTTGACGGGTTCGAACTTTAACTTGACATAAATCGCCACTGCTATTAAAAGTACGACATACAACACTGTCAATGTTATTATTATTGTAAACAAAACAGTTAGCAACGTGAGGAGCATATTTGTGCAGCCAGCTTCACCTCGCCGACTACTGTGTCTGACTAATACGTCTTATGTCGGTTTCCCCAAACTCGTTTTACGGAAATCTTTAACATCCTGGCTGTGAAAACAGTCGTAAATTTTCCATGCAAGGTGTCAATACTTTTTACATACATATAAAGATGAAAAAAAAATTAAACTAGCCTCTTAGGCTAGTTTTTTTTTCATATTTGATATTGATTGATTGAGAACTATATTTTTTAAGTTTTTTAATAATTCAGTAGCTAAAACAGAGGTTAATTAAATTTTGAATTAAAAAAGGAGTTAAATAAATTAACAGAAAAAAAATGATTAAACTAAATCATTGTTGTCGAGGTGTGTGATTATAAATTTAATTGGTTAGGGAGAGGCGCAGGAAAGTACCCTATGGTTTCAGGTCTCCCTGTTGCTAAACGCCAGCATGCATTTGGTGCTTTTCAATTATTCTATTTTTTAATAATTTATGTAAAAAACAACGTTCAGTTAACCGAACGGACTAATTAAAACGTTGCTTATATTCTTGTAGTATAAGATGTTAATTGCTAAATTTCAGCGTTATAGGTCAACGGGAAGTACCCTATGAATTTTGATTACCTTGAGAGTGTCGAAAAAAGCGGCATAAACGGCCGTATCTGTTTTTACGTTAACTTAGTTAGATTATTTTTCAGCTTCAAGGGACCGTAGATCTAAGTATGCGGTTTTAATTTCAACTCGATACCTATACGCGTACCCGAGATAAAGAGTCTTGCCAGACAGACAAACAACTAAGTGATATTATAAGTGGAACTTTTGACTAAACTTATGCATCTATTGGTCACACAAACCGTTAAAGTCGCGATTCATAAAATCATTAATAGCACTAATACTAAAAAGGAGCATAATGTATTCAAGTGTGATTAGTCTTGTTCTGTTAATAAGAGTATTAGCCGTCTCTGTCAGTTAGTTTTAATCGCTTTTAAGGTCATAACATCACGTCGCCGTAGCGTGATAAAACATAATCTATAACCTTCATTTATGAATAGTCTAATCAATGCAATAATACAATTAGTAGTTAAAGAGATTATCGTGTTTAAAGAAACAAACAACTTAAAATAAAATATCTTAAGCTTAAGAATCAAAGAATGAAAAAATTTATTCGAAGATATTTAAGAGAAGGAGGTGGATATATACCTACTACGGATAGAGACCAAAGGGGTATGGGGGTAAAAAATTGTAAATAACGGGTCACTCAGTACGGGCACATTCTCTCAGTTGATTAACCTTGGTTGGTTGGTGAAAAGTACCATATTTTTGTGAAATGGTCATAATTTGTCTTTGTTCTCTGGCCTTGCATGATCATTAATCGTTCGTTACAATCACCTATCAAAAGAAGCGTGGTGAAAGAGGTATCAAACTATGTTCATAATTATTTTTAGTCCATAAAAAATCAAACTAGCGATTGTATGAAATCCTTAAAATTACCATTAGCTATATAATGTTAAGTATGCTTGTGTACGCTTCAGAAACTCTACCGATTGAGTTCAAATTTAGATACTGCCTAGGTATGTACAATCCGCTTCAAAGATTGCCGTACTGTGTGAGAGAAACAATAAACTATTATTATTATTTTTATCAATTTTTTTTGCGTTAGTTTTGATCCTCATTTCTGCAATGCAACCCCAACGGTACGGTACAACTAGTTTATTATAATTTTGAAAACCTATAAATAAAATCATATTACTATAATATATTTAAAGTAAGGATGGAACAAAATCACAACCACATGTCATAAATCATATGATTTTTAAATATTATCTTGACAAGACTAAAATATTTTTTATTAATTTTCATGTCAATTATATTTGTTTATGACGTAATCACATGTGACATCGCTGTGACTAAAACCAATTATTTTATCAAATGAATATGATTTAAAAGTAGCAATAATTACCATATCTAATTTAAAGTAAACAAATACCAATCTGTATGAGTAATCTGTAATGTCTCTTAAGTTCATTACGCTTAAAACCCTAGACTAATTTAGATGAATTTTGGTACAGAGATAGACGGGATCTAGAGAAGCACATAGAGTACCTCGTGTCTCTAAAAAGATTTGAAGGAGATGAAATCATGTATGAATGGATGAAAGTTTGTATATAGAGAATAAAATGATAGTCACATAAGCCAGTCTTCATCGCATGCGGAGAATAAGACAATACCCATACATTGTATAATATGTATTTATATACATATGTTCATTGTTTAAGTAGTTCTATAAATATTTATATAGGTAATTTAAAATTTTAAAAGCAATTGTTTTCGGGTTCAACAGAGATTATTTGTTACTATCTAGTACTAGACTTTAATACGTATGTACATATATTATCCGGCTCGATGAAACGAATAATAAAACTTTATTTATACTTTTTTTTGTAAAATGACATCATTTCATCAACTCGTCAACATTACACTTTTATTCCAAATATCTTCCACCAAGTCTTCACTATCCGCAACCTTGGAATACTCAGCTTCCTTACATTCCATAAAGTACTTTCCACTAATGTTATCAACTTCTTCAGACACGGCCAGATATATGGAGGTTTGAGCACCTTCTTTCGGTGTCTTAAAATTTAACACTTCAATCAGAAACATTAACCATTTGAGTGAATAACGATCGAGTCGTTTAAATATATCAGTTTTAACTACTCCAGGATGTAGAGAGTTAACAAGTACATTCTTTGGCAATCTCTTTGCTAGTGCTCTAGTCCACAAAATATCACACAGCTTACTATTTGCATATTTCCGCATGTAATGTTTCGTTTGTAAGCCATTTAGGTTACTAGTTGTTACTCGACCAAATAAATGAAGAAGTGAAGATACAATGACGATCCTTCCAGCTGGAGAAGCTTTAATCTTGTCAAGCAGTAGATTTGTAAGCAAAAAAGGTCCCAAATAATTCACTTGCATCACCAAATCAATACCGTCTTCACTAGCTTTGTGCTTGAGGCCTGCACAGCCAGCATTGTTGATCAAAATATCTAGGCGATCGTAAGTTTGGTTAAAATCGTGAGCAAAACTTCTTACACTTCTGAAGCTAGATAAATCTAAGTATTTATATTCGATGTTGTTGTTGCCAGTCGTTTTAATAATATCGGCGATCGCATCTGCTGATTTTTTTCCGTCACGACAAGCGATAATGATTTTTGCACCTCTTGAAGCGAGGTCTCGAGCGGTTTCGAGACCGATGCCTTGATTTCCACCAGTCACTAACGCAATTTTTCCATCAAGTCTCACATTTGATTTGCACACGCCTTTAACCGGTTCGAATTTTAACTTTATATAAACAAAAATAGACGATGTCGTTATGACATATAGCGCGGCTAATATTATTATAATATTAAACAGAGAAGTCAATAACTCGACCAACATGTTTGTGCCGTGAGTTTTAAATTGTAACTGAACTATGTGTTCATCAATAGTTAATTAATGATTAGTGTTGTGTAGTTAGCAACCAAAGTCTCTTAACCTGTCCTCGTTTCTACACTTGGCAGAACATTCATTTAAGACTTATGCCATGGCCTCATCTAGCATCAAATTACTCGGGTACATAATAAAAAGTTTTTGTTAGTTTCAATGCGTCAATATCCAGAATTAAGTAAATATTAAACAATAAGTAGTTTTGGTCGTAGTCGTGTTCTATGTAAAATACTGTGGCATGACGTCATACCTAGTTATTGTAAATCAATATATATTTAATGTTGATTTGAAGATATAAAAACGATAATCATCATCATCGTCACCTTTAGTAGTCCAATTCTGGAAATAGTCCTCTCCTTAAAACCTCCTTTGGTTTTGGCCTATTACACCACGCTAGCCAGATGGTTTGGTATAAGGTTTGTTTCAAGTTTTCCTTCTCTTTGCAGTGATGTTACCCTGCAGAGTCGGCTCTTACGACACCCACGGGATGAATAGGGCGATGACACTGTGTATTCTTAATCCAATTATTTTTAATCCAATTTATACATCCATCACCACACGGATGAATGTATAAAAACAATTGCTTTTCACCGAGTGAGTGAGATTTGCCGAAACCCTTAATTCCGATAGGCACTCAAAAGACGGCAACGCATTTGTAACTTTTGAAAAAGTAACCCTACCCTATTCATGTTCCTGGCCCAACTTACTAACTTCCTTTGACCCGTTTGAAAATGAGTACATCCCAAGGTTAACGTCATACAGGCGTGCTGGCATAAAAGAAACCAATCAACACAATAGACAATGGCTGGAAAAAATCATGATGACTTGCACTTAGAATATAGATTATAAAAAAATATTTTTATGTCAATAGAAGTCGGACAGAGTACAGAACGCTAAATGTTTAAAATAATTTTATTTTTTATTACATTTTGTGAATGCATCTATTTCTGTTTGGAAATAAAATTAATCAGTAGGAAATTAATCATAAGGAAGCCATCCTAGTGGTTCTTGTCTCAAAATGTAACAATAATGTTCTCGTGTATCTTAAAATCGTAGTAGTTTTGTGTGTAAACAGGTTTTGTTTCGTAACGTGTTAGGTTTTAATTCGTATTAAAAATAGCAGCGAAAACATATTTACGACATTTTAGTTAACCTATCTATACAAATAAATAAAGTTGAAGGGTCTGTTTATAATGTCAAAATAATAGGTGTTTATCACACACGGTTGTTTGTAGTAGGTATATTGTAGGATACCAATACCTAAAAACCAGCATATTTATTTTTTGTCTGTTTGTTCCGGGTAATCCTTAAAATGGACCGAATTTGATATTATTTTACAACCAGGTAGCTGTCTAAACACGGAGTAACTTAGGGCATTTTTTCCCTCAGAAAAACCGTATAAAATTTTCCCCGGTTCGGGAATCGCACGGCTTTTAAAAGTCGGGGCACCAGCTAGTATCGGCTAGAACTGGATGTAGTTCAATCGAATGACAATTCCAATAATAAACATACAATAACATTGTGACTCATTTTTAAGTAGATTGTTATGAGTGTTTATTGGAATTTCAATCAAACGTAATATTTATTGCTGCCATATTACATTTAATATAGAATCTACACACACAGTAAAATATTTGTTACTGAGTCGAGTGTTTCTTAACTCGAGTAACTCGAGTTTAGAAACATTTAAACTCGACTCACATTTCTTAACATCAATAATACTAGGTATACTATATGTATGGAAATTGATTCATAGATTTAAATTGGTTAATTTAAAAACTGAAAGCGCATTACTTAACTACGTTTAAAAATGCACATGTTTAAATATGTTTAAGTCATACCTGACTTAAATATACGTAAAGTTCATGTCATTCCCTTTGTCTATACTAGCACCATTCTAGTCAGATATCAAACTATTATAGAAATCAAAACCTGACAAAATTATAAACAAACTACAATTACACATAATTATAATTACATTTATTTGTCTACACCGGACAACAGCAAAGAGAAGGAAACCTAGTAATGAACCCTATACCAACCCGTCTGGCCAGCGTGTGTATAGTAGTCGAAAACTTCCTTTCTAGGAGAGGCCTATATCCAGCAGTGGACTATTAAAGGCAGTTGATGAATGATAATGACATGACGATGTATTAGAGTAAGAAACGGTATCCATATACCAAGTGCTGAGTGTTTGTTTGGAGTTGAAATTGTTTATAATAAGCTATGACCGGCGCAGCTTCATCTGTCATCTCAAAAGGAGTAAAACTTGCCCCGTTTTTTCAACATTTTTCATTGATGATCCAATTGGTGGTAGCGTGATTCAAGCAAACAAACAAACTACTCAGCTTTAGCATGTTAGTATAGATATTAACCAGATGTTCCTCTACCACTCACCTCTACTCTAAACTAACTAACTCTACTAGGCATGCCTTTTAAGTTCTGTCGTTTCCATATTTCCCGGCAATTTTGAATTTGGAACTGTTCTATATTCGAATGTGTTTAAATTTTGAATCTCAAAACAGTTGAAAGTATTAGGATTAATGCTATTTTTTAGTCACAGCGTGGATTGGAATCTGTCAGGTTACGTACGAAAATGAATCTTTCCAAGGAAAATGTTCGTGCAATAATTTTCTACAACTTTAGAAGAGGCCTGATACGACTTCAGTGTTTTGAAGAGCTAACATCTGTGTTCAGTGATAAAGCTCCATGTCTGCGGACTGTCGAACGCTGATATTTAGAATTCCAGCGTGGAGATACAAGTGTTAGTGACAAATCTCGCGAAGAACGCACAAAATCCGCCTTCACTGAAGATTTCACCGAACATCATTGCTGTGAGACAACTAATTCTCGAAGATCGTCATGTGACGTATCGAGAGATAGAGGCTCTATTAGGCATCTCAGGGACAACCGTTCAAAAGATCTTACATGAAGCGCTTGGTGTGATAAAGCTAGTTTGCCGTTGGATACCACATCTGCTTTCCGACGATCACAAGGCGGCCCGCGTCAGGTGGTGTAAGAAAACTCTGCAAAGGTTCAATCGAGGAGAGTCAAATCACGTCTACGACATCGTCAGTTCTGACGAATCTTGAATCTATTCCTACGATCCTGATTCCAAACAACAATCTACAATCTGGGTCTTTCAAGGCGAGCCAAAGCCGACTAAAGTTGTTCGTTCTTGAAGCACTTCAAAGAAGATGGTGGCTACGTTCGTTGGAAAAACCGGCTATGTTGCGACTATTGCACTTGAAGATCGTAGAACGGTTAACGCAGGGTGGTATACCACAGTTTATTTACCACAAGTCATCACCGAACTTCGAAAATATAACTCAAAACGACACGCACCTGCACCACGACAACGCAAGCTCACACAGCGCTCGTGAAACGATTGAGTATTTGAAGCAGGAAAAGTAGAAATTCTTGACCATCCTCCATACAGTCCTGACCTAAGCCCTAACGATTTCTTAACATTTCCTAAAATTAAGAAAAGTCTTCGTGGTCAAAGGTCCGGTGGTTCCAGTCCGGTGAAGAAGCAGTCGAAGTCAGCCATTTTGAACACCCCCACTTTAGAGAGGCATAAATATTATAATAACTGGTTTGAGCGAATGGAAAAGTGTATTAAGCTACGTGGTGAATACATTGAAAAACAATAAAAAGTACTATAAGGTTCTAGTTGTGTTTTTTTCTTCAAACGACAAAACTTAAAAGGCATGCCTCGTAAATTATGTACATAAGAATTAAAAGAAAAATACAATACCTGCATGACAATGTATGGCAACCCTGCCTTCTTGGAGCGCGAAGGAGAGTACCTTCGCCATGTTGAGTAACCCACTCAGGCTGGCTTCGGCGTAATCAGGCCACGCGAAATTGTAGTAATAAACTAGATAAGAAAAAAATATGTTCAAAACTTCTTTCATTTAGGGAAAAAATCAAAATATTAATTTAATGAAAAAATTATGACAATAAATGTATACAAGCTATTCCAAAAAAATAAAATGGAGAAATTTTTAGAGGTGCACACCTCTAAAATTTTCTCCATCTTATTTTTTTCACTCTAGCACTCCACTATCATGGAGTGCTAGAGTTCCTGAGGCGGCTGGTGGCAGAGTCGCAACAAGACGGCTGTACACGAGGGTTGTCCGGTCAATGGCACTGTATGGTGCACCGTTGTGGGCTCTGACCGCCCAGAATAGACCGCGCCTTTGGCGTCCTCAGCCGGTGTGGGCAGTAAGAGCCATACGCAGTTACTGCACCGGGTCGACAAAGGTGGCCGAAACTCCCCCTTGGGATTTGGAGGCGGAAGTGCTCGCCGAAGTATATCGGCGGACGACTGAGTTCCGGGCAGTTAACGACACTTGGCCCCCGTCCGAAGAAGTATCTCGGCGTGAGGTCGCTGTTGAAGCCACGATAGTTCGTTGGTCGTCCCGGCTGGAGGCTCCACGTGCTGGTTTTGCTGCCTTGGAAGTGCTCCAGCGGGAGAAGGGTGTCAGCACGGGACCCTTTCCTTCCGACACGAAGTACACACACACACACACACACGTAAAGACAAAAACTTTAGGTTATTTAAACAAATAGTGGCAACAGTAATGCCAAAATTAAAGCTACCTGGTAGATTAAGAAGTCGTCTAAGAACTTTACAATTTCTAAGTTAGCAAAATTTAGTAAGTCCTTATTAATATCTGTGTAGTGACAAAAACAACAACAGATAATATAACTTCATACGTACTATCGTTAGCCATAAAAACTATTGGGTCGTAAGTGAAGCCGGATTTAGTTAGTGGAGGCCCGCAGCTCGCGTGCTCACCCGGAGTTTGAAGGTTAATCACTGTTCGTATACCCCAGCTGAAAAGTATTTATTTTTTAATTTTCTTGAACATAAAGTTAGTACAAAGACTACTTCTATTACTTTCTACTAAACAAACACCCGTAAAACGTAAATTATAAGTATTTCAAGCGCCTTAACAGATTATCACGGCAGTTAATTTCTTCTTAGACACTAAAACGTTTCAAACGCACGCATCATTATTTAGATATTTTTGTACTAAAATCTAATAAAGTTAACAAATATAACTACGTTGTAGATGTCGTAAATCATTAAAAATAGCTGTATTATTTATCAATTATTTATTTCTTTTGAGATTTTTTTTCTTTAATTCTAAACTTCGCCAATCTTGAGTATAACTTAGTCTATTAAATACATTTTAAAAATGTTGAATCGGTTTAAAATAAGAATTAATGCTATAATCATATTGGGTATACTTTGATATTTATTTCTCGTTAACTAAATCATTTTGGGCGGCACGGGTATGGCGGCTCTATCAAATCAATTTAGAGAAAAAGACAATCAAATCGACGACCATATTAATGGACGAAGACTACGCAAATTTAGTAATTTGCGTAGTCTTCGTCCATTAATATTGTTTCCTCGACTTCAAAAAAGGAGGTTCTCAATTTAAATGTACTTTTTTATGTTTATTACCTCAGAACTCCATCATTTACTTATTAAAGAATTTCCAAATCGGTTCGATTTGGAAAAATCTTTTTCATTTGTTCCTACTTTTCTTTAGTTCTACAAATGTAAAGGCATGAAGAATACAGTTTTATAAAAAGTTGTTTTTTTTTTCGTCATATCAACGCCAATATTATAATATGTTTGAAACACTCTTTTAAAGCGTGTTTCATAGATGTATTTATAGAAATATAAAACGCCTGTGTCTACGCTTTTAACAAGAGCCATTATTGATGAACAAAAGCTTATTTTTAAGGCTTACCTGTGGAATTGTTGAATAATGTTTCTTGCAGCGATAGTAGCGGTACTGGGTCGTGCCATCGCCAGAATATCGTCTGTAACCCTGTGAAACATATCTGATTTTTATTGTCGAATAAATTGATCTAGACTTGCGATAAGTAAACTATGTTAGTTATATTTTTTTCAGTAGTTTAGGAATTTATAACTTTAAGTAGGAAAAAGAACGTTATTTACTTTTTAATATAGTAGGAAGGGCTGTGTTTAAGATGCAAGAAAGACTTTTATCTTAATTTAAATACCATTTGAAAGAATTGTACAGTATTTTAATAATAATATATTTATTTGCGTTGAACATCGTATACAAAGGTGTTACAATATATGATTTTTACATAACATCCATGTTTTGCTAATAAGTACTAGCATGCAAAATTTTAGTCTACTTTTACTGACCAAACTTCTTAATACTATAGAAGTTATCTCTTATTGAGTAGTATAGTAACTATTATCACGCATGCAGTTTAACTTTTAAGTCTTAAATGATGATATGATTGGGAACGCGAATGAACATACGTAGCTATAACTTTTTGTTGTATTTTGTTGATCGAAATATCGAAATGATTAGAGGTATGACTGGCGCTCTGTTAAGCTTAATACATAAACTAGTTAGATGTTAACCGCAGTTTCTTTGATAAATTCCATATGTCTACCAGACTAACGTGCTAAATTTCACTAACATCAGGTGTTCGTTGAAGGTTGTTGTGCCTGACCATCACTAGTCCGTGACTTGTATGCTCGTTTGCCACCTATGTAGTAAAAAAGCTACAAACATTTACAACGAGCTACAGGACGACTTACAATAACCATTTGTACTGTGGTGTTAGTTGTTAAAATAATTTTATGCAAAGAAAATAATTTGTATCACCGCTTTTCAAATCACGCGATATAATTATTTTTCATATGTAAGTTAAAATTTAAATATGCTAATAGATGAGTTCTTGTAAGTAATTAATCTTGTAGAAGAAAATAATTTTAATTATGCATGGGACTTTTTTCATTATTATATTTAACCTTTCTGGTAGAGTCAGCAAATCAGTACCTATAAGAGTACCTATGAGAAGTGAGATTTTTTTTTAATTTTTTTTAACACGATTTTCTTATAATATTTTTAAGCACCATTTTGTATGACCATTGTTATTATTCCATTAATTTGATTTTATAATAGGTATGTGGGTATGTGTGTCCCCTTTAATATATGTAATATTAATAAGTTATTTTACTCTAAGAAAGTAATAATCAAAAACATAATAGTCTTACCATATATATAATTGGCAGTAGATAATAATTGCCTAGTTGTTTTATAATAAACGTATAAAAATAAAGTAAAATAAAGAAATATATTTTTCCGTGTATTTTGCTTATATATGATATTGCTAAAGCAATTTGTGCCTATTAAACTCCTAAAAAGAAACAGCATATAAAATACTTGACTAAAGAAAGAGAAGAGAGAAATAAAGGGGACAGCAGCCCTCGTAGATAAACTACCTACTTTATTTGTGATCTAAGTTTACACATAGGTACGACGTTACACATACATACAATTTTTAGTTGAAACTAACGCTGTACGTAAATAAAAAATTGTGCTATTGACTGTACCAGTTTTCCACCATTATTTTAAATCAAATGTCACGTATTTCTTCAAGCCCGACTGCAGTACTATTATATTAGGCCTCAACATTTGTTGAGAGTGTACAATTACATTTACATAGGGTGACATGGCAGAAGTCACGCGACTATGTGCAATAAACATTTAATTTTTTTCGTCAAGGGTGGTTTTGATTTTTATTTTAAATATGAAAAGAAACAAAGGTTAAACAGCACTATATCAGAGTCTTTTTATTTCTCAACAGAAGAAAAGTGTTGCAGATCTCCGCAATTGTCTTCTAAAATTCAAATCTTTTTATTTTATGCTAGAGGGGGCAGACGATGGATGGACGGTTCACCTGATGGAAAGTGACCATCGCCGCCCATGAACGAATGCAACTCAGGAGTCACAAAGACGTTGCCGGCCTTTTAGGAAGGAGGAAATCTTGGCAATGTATAAGTTGCTTACGAGTGCAATTTCTAAGTGTCATCTCAATATTTTAAAAACACTCTAGTATATTAGTTTGTTTAGTTTGAGTGTATCAACCTCGATATCGAAAGTTTGGCGATTGTCTACGGTCACATTGGCCACACGTTACCATACTAAAAGAACCAGGTACATCCGTTCCCGTAGGTATACATACATATTATGAATACAGCTATGTTGTATAGGTTCTAACTTTCCTCAATAAATTAAATGCAGAATATTCTAGACAAAGAGAATGAATCCATCTGACTTATACTTCCAAAAATTACATCGTCAAAGAAACCAAAAATCCTGTTCGGCTTTGTGTGCAGTTCGGCAGCTATGACTTCTAGAAATTTATATTAATATTTAATATAAATTTCTAGAAGTCATAGCTTTCCTTAGCACAAAAAAAGGCTACGACTGTCATCAACATTTACTGGGTTAGACTTGTTTACTACCTTAATCTGAAAAAGTAAGTGAATCGTGTTTGATACTGGACTTATCCCTAACTTTCCATTGCTCAGCATGTCAATATTAATCCTTAAATATTAATGAGGCATCATAATGAAATTTCTAAACATAGCTACGAACACCATATAGTGTACAGTATGGTCGTGGTACATTATTAATGAAGCGAGTCATTCATTATGTGGGTAACACGAGACTAGTAGAGTCACCACGTTTAGTAGTATTTTGTAAAATGTGGGATCACCAAACGGTGCCACTTTTTTGGCTTTACGGCGGACTTTTGGCTTCTTAAATAATCAGCAAACTCATCACTTCTCGCGACACTTGCATTGATTAAAGTTAACATTCCACGACTGACCACAACAGTTTCATCTTCAGTCAAAAGTTTATTACAAGTAAAGCAAAATTGTGACATTTTTTTTAAAAATTAATCAGCACTAACTTCAATAGTAGACGCTCGTTCAACACTAAAAGAAGCAGGTATACGTGAACGACACCACATGGACAAAAGTATAGGCAGATGTTTTTCAAGGCCAGATGTTATTCGAGTAGAGGGGATTCGGTAAGGGACCGGCGGTCATTTTAGAGTAAATTTTCTTAGAATAGTATAATGTATACATAAAAGAGACACGAGTAGGCATTTTTGATTGCTTGAGTACCTAAATATGTATATACGTGGCATATGTGTGCATACTATGTAGAACATGATTCTTACAAGCGCAATATCTGGGAAATAATATAATTTTTTCTCTAAGACCCAGAAAAAATTATAGGGATGGTCCCTATAATTTTTAATTATATATTATAATTTTAATTTTTTTTATAGAGAATTTTAAGATCTACAACTTTGCTCTGAGGTACTTTTTCGATAAAACTTACCGTTTTTGAGAAAAATCCAAAAAACCTAAAATTTTGACCTTGGGCCCCGAATAAGTCCCTAAGCTCACATGGGACTGATGGGGACTTTTGTCACTTTATTCCTTGTGGTAAACCTAAGGTCTCTACGAAGATTTGGCTCTGTCGGAATTTTTTTTATTTGATCACTATTTTTATGTCTAAAATGACCGGACTAATAGGGCAAATGAGGAAAATTACATAGGGAATATGACTACCGTCTCCCATAGACGGCTGCATTCAAGATTCCATAGAATTGGCGGGGAGAACTTTGAGTTGGGCCTTCTATAACTTCCCCTACGCGGTGAAATGCAATGAAAGAATTGATTAACACTGGTTTTCTGTAATGCCGTGACAAAAAATCCAGTCTAACAGGCTCATGTATTAAATGCCGATGCGTGGCTCTTCTGAAGTATGTCTGTTTAAATGTACAATGAATATCTCAAACTTAACCAAGTCTGTTTTGTCCGTAATAATCTACGTTATATAATTTGGTGACAAGAAAGAAAAAGCCTATGAAAAGCTGTTTCTTTTATCGCATAACGATCTAAGGAATGCCCTAATGTATTCTGAGGTAGGTAAGTGCTTAACGACGAAGCCGCTAATTGTGGTTATGTCAAAAACCAAATGTCAAAGTGTAAAAGCTAAATATTGATTCGATATTTAAAGCAGAGTATATTATGATATTTTAAGAGTTTTTGAAGTGAAAGCTTCTTCAGGTGCGTTGGGTATTTTTAAACAACAAACAAAAGAATGAATTTTTTGAGATGGGAAGACACCATGATGTGTATATAAGTTTATAAGTTTTCACTTCTGTCGGTACACCCGGAGTGCCACTGTTTTTTTTTGCAGACGGGGTAAACGAGCAGACGGTTTACCTGATGGTAAGTGACAACCGCCGCCCATGGAACTCAAGAGTCACAATTCAGTGGCCGCCTTTTAAGGCCAAAGCATGGCACTCCCACGGCTAGTCTATTTTTTTATATCAGTAAATTGGTGTCCGATTTTATTTACATATTATTAGTCACCCTATATACGGACTAATAAATATAGGGATGTCCATTAAGCTTTTATACAAGTGTGAAAGTTGAAGTACGTCTGTTTGTGAATTATGTTTGGTGATAGGCATCATGGGGTTAATAAACAAATCTATAGTTTTGTAGTAACAGACGGAATTTTAGCACTAGAGCCGTAGTAAATCCTTTTAATAAATGTTGAACCGACTTCAAAAAATACTCACAAAGAGCACCAAAAACCTAGCAGTAATTGCGGTTGATTTGCTGTCATTTATTGAAGAGTTCCGTTTTCTGTCTCCGAAACTCATCATCAGATCCATGTGAAATTTAAATGGGATCATTTTGGAATAAACCCCTTTTAAACAAAATATTTTGGAAATCTGTCTATATATGACGATGTCATGCCTGAACATATTATACATTAAAAAAATATAAACATCCGAATTGATAACTTCCTCCCTTTTGAAGTCGGTTAAAATGCTTCAAATTTCAGAATATTACATTTTTCTCGATGTCATACATTTTGTAACCAACGAAAAAATTAATGATAATCGGTTTAGTATTTATGGTGTAAAAGCGTACAAATAAAGTTACACTATTAATTAAAACACAAACAATTAATGAGACGGGCCTGTGTAATTACATTAAACGGGCACCGAACTAGGACAAGCAGCTATGGAAGTTACTATCGAATGAAGTTAGCCATGAGCCATGGATGTGGCGACCATCACACTACACTAGTCTACGATCTCCGGTGTGGCAGTGGCGAGTCTAGAACACCCTGTATTTTTCTGTAATTAATAAATAAATAAATACATGAAGTCATGACTCTTGACGCAACAATTTCTCACCAGTTCGAATAAAGTCCTTGTATAGCAGCTCCAGTCTGTGGTCTTTCGTAAGGGCATCGTGCTCCACCGCAGAACAGGGCACACTGGAGACCGCGAGGAGTACTCGTGCGAAGACGTTCCCCTACTACACTGTAGAGGGCCGATGGTGGGTGGTTGATCCGACGGCGGGATTCTCGGCTTCTGTGGAAGAGTATAGTAAGCTGTTCAGTACTCAGATTAAAAATAACAGCCCTAATCGTCAAACTTCGTAAAAAAACAAAGGTCTGCAATGTCGCCCAAAGAGCGCTTTGATCGATGTTCTTGTCTTGTTATGACTTAACCAGGTTGAAAAGAAATAGTGAACCCATCTTTTCCCTCGCCGATTCTCCATTTTTTCTGATCTAAGAAGCACTGAATACAATAAATGGCATGAATAATTATTATAGAAACAAGCTTAATTGGTTAACCGAATTAAAAAGTTAAAGAAAAACGTTAAAAGGAGTTCCTCTTTCCATCTTCTTCATCGTTGTTGCTAAGCCAAAACCATTTCCTCCTATCCATTATATGAGCCTAACTCGAGCATTTTACAAATAGCCACTGAAAAGATCCTATCCATATTTTCCAATTAAACCACTTGGCTCCATCATCAGCTGATCTCCTAGATGCCATGTGCATTGGGCTCCGGTAATTTGACTCACTCGGTGAAAGGGGACGAAAGGATTACTCAACACCGGTTTTCTGTGAGGCCATGGTCTTACCCTGGTCGAGCTGGCCTATTTTTGCCGAAGCATGGCTCTCCCACAAACTAGTGTATGACGAATAACGATTAACATTGGATATGGGAAAAATAATAATTATAAATCATCACATGTACCTGTCTAAGAAATGGAATCTCCCAAAGTTATTAAAATTAATACTGGATGGTCTTCGATGTTTCTGAAAGTTAATTTTTGACATATTTTTTATTATTATAACTATAACAGAATATCGATTAAGTTCAGCTCGACGTCGTTATCCAAACGAAGGCTCGTTAATACTGTTTGTTACTTGGTTAGGAACTAATATTATAACTCACTGAATATAAGTAGCGTGCACAAAAACAACATTAATAATGTGCAGTTCAACAGAAATTAAGAGCTTTAAAGTTAATGTTAGTAAGTCATCTTTTGTCACTGAGTTATTTATTATTTTACATATGTTTTAAATAAGGGCTATTGGCGTAGCGACACCGATACTTCTTACTAATCCTAATAATGTTTGGTAACTCATATTATTTTAATACGTAGTGAACTTTGTAGTTACCTAGTACAGTTTACCCTTTTTTTTCTGTGCGGAAATCCCCTCGGATACCACTTACTGGTGGCAATGTCGGACTCGAACCGACTAAAACCGCACGCGTCTGTCTCAGGTACCAGTATTCGGGGAACCAGGTGTACCCTAGAAAGGAAATCCAGTCCACGGTCCGACCATCGCAGTGGTGGCACTCAGGCGTTGGCTCCTTGCGGATCAGACACAGGTGATCCCCAAAACATCCTTTCCCAGTGATCACCTGCGTCAGTCGGTATGAGAGGGTCCCGTGATGCCTCTCGAGCCAATCCTCCATAACGGATCTTACCGCCGCGATGACGGCGTGCCCGAGTACAGTTTACCCTTACTTTTTAATATTCTGTCAATGGTAAATCATGTGTACTCTCGTTACACATACTATATGATAATTCGGATAGCGTAGTAGTTTAAGTGGTTTCCTCGTCGCTTTCTAGTGTTGTGGGTTCGATCAAAAAATTGTTGTTCTTAGTCTGGGTGTTCCTTGTGTCCGTGTCATGAATGTTTGAGAGTCCTCCGCTACGCAGGATATATTCCTAGTGCAGAAGTTGTCTTTAATTTTATTAATATCATAGTCATCAACAGATATCATATATACATATACATATCATGAACAGATTTTGATAGTCAACTGCTAGACATACGCCTCTCCTTGGAAAGGAGGTCTGGCCTACTGTACCACGCCACTGGCCAGACGGGTTTATAACAATATAAAAATATTTAACTTTTAACTTTTATTTGCTGACGGTTCTTAGCAGCGGCGAAGGACAAATACTAATGGTTTAAAAGTAAAGCAGCACCATAATAGGCAAACGAAAGTAAACACATTGGTTTAACACCGTGTGTCGTGTCCTTCCACTCATAAATAGGACAAAGCTCAAAAAACATTTTGCTTTGACATTGAACGTTAATGGTGGATATGTTGCGGTAAATCTTAGGATTTACGGTAGTTCGGTATTTCTTTTACAGTAACGCATACACATTAAAATTATCATAAAAACTAAAAAAAAATATCACTTCAAGATGACTAGGTTAGTAACATTGTAATAAACTGTGATTTTTTTCTTCAACTTTGAATAGGACCAAACGGGAAGTATACCCCTTGAAACAAAAAAAAATATTTTTTCAGATCGATTTACAAACGAAGGAATTCTGTGGTAACGAACATTAACATAACTACAGTGAAATCAAGAACTTCGTCCTTTTTTTAAATGGTTAAGAATACAACTTAAATAGAAACAATTATAGTTGAGTCCCCGAGGAGCAGGAGATCCGAAGGAAGTTTCCACCCCGTCCACAAAAAAATTAGATATGTTAGACTTGTAAAAATAAATTATTCAAACTCAAACACGAGGTATTTACTAGTTAACTATTACTAGTCACTGAAGAGTTGAGTTGATCATTGGTTCACCTCGAATACACCAAATTGTATGTATTGTCATCCAAACTACATAACTAAGATTTCATATTAAACTGACAATTAAAAGTAGGTACGTCATATTTGACTTAGAAAATTTGTTTAGTATGTTTTTTCTTAGACTAAGGGCTAAACGATCAGGCAGATCACCTGATGGTAAGTGACTACTGTCGCTCATGGACCTAGCAACTCAAGAGACATAAGTGTATTCGCCTACTTTTAAGTGGGGGGAAGTTGGTCTTCGGTAACCTCAAATTGTGGGATTTCTTGTAAATATTTTGGTATAATGTCGTCCGCGTTAAGTACACTTAACTTTTTTTTATGGAATAAGGGGCAAACGAGCAGACGTAACACCTGATGGAAAGCGACTACCGCCGCCCATGAACGCCTGCAACTCAGGAGTCACAAGCACGTAGCCAGCTTTTAAGGTGACAAATCCCATGAAAGTGGACCTTCTAGTTTCCGTTCAATTTTTTTTACTCGAATAGTTTCACCGTATGTAGATTGACAATTTGTATGTAGTTGTCAAGGATACCGATAAATATTAACACTGAAAACATCGTGTCACTCGCGCGTTGACGAGGTCTAAGCATAACAATTCAATTTAATATGATACAGTATTTGAAGTACTCGTAGTCCTTAATCTAAATATATTTAGCTGGTCGAATGCCGCTTCAATATCATGATTAATATTGATTTTATATTCCAAGACCCAGTACCTAGACCTAAGACTAGTATTCCAAGACCTAGTACAACCAAGTTTTTTATGGTAGGGACCTACAGGCAGCAACTGAGCTGACAAGTCATGTATGGGGTCAGTAAGCTCTTACACTTAAAATATGTTGGTTTGTTAAGTTAATGAAGTACACACAAAAAAGAAGTCACTAAAATTTATGTATAATTGGTTAAGGTTAAATTGTTACAAATATTATGTAAGTGTCTCTTACTCTTGCCAATAGGTTCACATAAGAGTTCTCACTGTACTAAAAAGTATTCGTAAAGTTATGTTTTATATGTTATACGCCTGCGTGTATGTCGGTTATCATGGTACAAAGTAGCCCATGTTATTGGCCGATAATGTAACATTACATTCGTTAAAGACTATTTAAAATCGGTTTGGTAGTGTCGGCGTGAAAGCGTAACAAACAAATAAACAAATTCACTTTCACATTTATAAGTGTAAAAGTGTTAAAACTGCAAACTGAACGTGTAATACTTTGTTTGAATCTCAACAACAACAATAGAATATTCTATAACAAGTGACATGTTGTAGTTTTATTCACTGGACTTAGTTACCCCTTTTTTTTTTCCCCTCGGATACCACCTGTCGGTGGCATGTCGGACTCGAACCGACTAAAACCGCACGCCGTCTCGGGTATTAATAGCCGGGGAACCAGGTATACCCTAGAAAGGAAGTCCCTGGTGCCCCGACATACCTCGGGTCATCTACAGACGAGTAGACGACCCCCCCCTGTGTGGGAACCCCATGTTCCCTGTGCTCCCTGGAAGCGAGCGCGCTTCGCAACGCGCTCGCCGCCACCCCGGCCTGCTTCTGCTAGGCCTGCGCTTATGGAGGACGGAGGTCGTTCTGCGACCTCCGGCGCCTGAGTCGCCTGCGGTACCTAGCCCGTTCCCGGGCTTGGCGGGCCGGGAGAGTTCTAAACCTCTCCCGGTCCCGCTCCGCCGTCTCCTTCGCGAGCATAACTTGCTCGCAGAAGGAGACGGCAGAGTTCCAAGCACTCTCGCTCCGCACGATAGCCGCAATCAGGCTATCGAGCGAGAGAACTCCCACTCCGATGGCCGCCACGAGGTCTCGCCTCTGCTCAACCCACGCCGGGCACTCTGCCAGCGTCTGGAGAGCCGTGTCTACGGTCTGGCCATCGCAGTGGTGGCACTCAGGCGTTGGCTCCTTGCGGATCAGACACAGGTGATCCCCGAAACATCCTTTCCCAGTGATCACCTGCGTCAGTCGGTATGAGAGGGTCCCGTGACGCCTCTCGAGCCAATCCTCCATAACGGGTCTTACCGCCGCAATGACGGCGTGCCCGGGACTTAGTTACCCCTACCACTGCAAATTTTTGTCCCCGTCTATAGACTAATAATTTTATTTACAAATATCATCAATAAAGGAACGAAGGTGACGCATGCGACCTACAAGTAAATTTGCTGTGCCGGTAAAGATGTACGGTTGCGAGACCGTACAGGTCACCTCACGGTAAGTAACTACCTACGCCCGCTGAGACCTGCAACTCATCAGACACAAGTTCCTCCTCACAAGTTGGTAAGGAGAGGTAAGGTTGGTAAAAGAATCGCTTAACTTCTTTTTTCTGTGAGGCAGCCCCAGATCTAGGGGGGGGGGGGGCGAGGGGCTAACACCACTAATATAATAAGGTTTAAAATAAAATAATAATTACGTGGCACGCTGTATTTATTGAATTGTTTCGGGTTAAATGTTCTGTTT